GTTCCCCTTCCCCCAATTCCCCAGCACTGCTCCCATTCCCCCAATTCCCCAATAAAAATCTTTAAAAAAAAAAGAGACTTGATTCTAAAAAAAAATAATAAATAAATAACTAATAAAACTGATGAAAATCTAATACTTCTAAATCTCTTCATTCTAAGAGTTACTGTAGGAAATCGCCCTCGTTGTATAGAAGAGTTGGAATACACCTACAGGCTTCCACCATCTTTCCACCCTCTGCGGCTGCGTTTATGCATGTTAAGGACAACAGTGCATCACGAAACAATAACTGGTAACTTGAAATCATGGCCTGACAAATAAACTGAGGGACCTGGGGACTCCAGAGCAAACTCGCAGAACATCCCTCCAGTTCCACTGAGTGGACCAAGAGTCTGCGGGGACTCTGTTCCATGATACAAGTGAGTCTTTCCTCATTTATCCTTCATTATGTGGTCAGTAAATGCTGGCTGAGTGCTTATTAGCTTGGGCCATCAGAGGGTGACCGAGTGCCGTGTTCCGTCCACTGTGGGGTGGCAGACAGAGTGCTTCCCGAAGGGGAGCTCAGCTTTCAGGGAGCTCACCTTGGACAAAGCGTGCACCCAAGGCCGGCCTAGAGAGAACACACAGTGGAAGCCGGAGGGAGAAGTGTGAGGAAGGGACTGGCATGGGGACTGCGTGTCACCTCCAGACACTGTTTATCTTTCAAATGCAACAACGGGGAGTTTGTTTTTCATTTGTCTACCAGCTGTCATGCATTGGCATAAACTTCTTTAATGTACATGTTACATAGCTTTTGCTTACTCCAGTTAAAACATGTGATACCAACCACAACTTTCCAGCACGGTACTGGTCTAACTACCCTGGTGATTTCTGTCTGCCATCATTAAACTGCAAGGCCCCTGAAATAGTCTGTGGAGCCCGCCCCCCTCCCCGCCCCCAGTCTCGTCTCCCTCCCTGGCACGTCCTGGCCCCCACGGGATGCTCAGAGGGCAGTCCTGAGGGGCTCGCTGAAAGGGACATAGCTTGGGTCCCCTAGAGGCAGAGGCACGGTTCCTTGTCTTCTTTAGGCTTTTGTTGTTTTAAACATCTGGGTCTTTGGGTTGAGGTTGCTATCTGTGGTTCACCCAAATCTCGAGCGTTTTCTTTCACCTTAAACAGCGACCCACTAGGCATCCGAGGCCACTCTGGAGGAGAATGATAAAAAGCAGTGACTACAGAGGGGCTCCCGTCAGAGTCAATGCAAGACGCCACCAGGCACAGTGCAAGAACCTGGGGCTTAGTACCGGCTGAGCTGTTCCCACCTCCTATGCCAGAAGCAACCAGGGGGAAATTAGTACTGAAACCTGGAGGAAAACGGACATGTAGGCTCAGCCCGGTTGAGAAGAGCTGTGACCTGTGGTCTTTGCGCCTTGGGGCAGAGCCAGTTTGCAGGGACACAGCAGGGAGGGAAAAGGAGGGATAAATACCTCACATTCCTCCTCCCTCTCGCACCTGTTGGGCTTCCACAGCAAACATGCCCTTGCACAGGAGGTAGCTGTTCCTGCAGTACATCAGGTGAGGTTCTAATTAGTAGGCGTCGGAGGGCACTGTGTGTGAGCAGGCGCAGGCTTAGACTCTGGATTCAAGGGATGGTCACGTGTTCACTGCTGTCACATGTCTTACTCTCTGAGGAGTCTCAGAAACAGGAAAGACTCATAAAGAATGAAACCAAACTAAGGTCAGCTAAGCGAGAGGTGTGGACGGCGGCTCCCAGGGCCGTTGGGCCCTGAGCTGAGCTTTCTCAGGAACATTTTGTTGTATCCTCACCAGAACCCTCAGCCAGAGGGTACGAGGGTCCGGGCGATGGCACAGCGTGCAGAGAGAGGCGGGTACGCTTGCATTTCCTGTCTAGACTATCAGCACCGGGGTCTCTGCAGGAAACCCAGCTCTGGGAGAAAGCCGGATTCGCAGAAACGAAGCTCAGTGAACAGCTTGGAAAGAATGAGGCCAGTGCCAGGGCACCAGCATTTAATATAAATGCCGTCTGCGACATCATAGGTGATGTCGATCATGTCACCAGCTGAAGTCTGTGCAGCAGGTGTCACCGCATGTGTCACTTACATCCGTGACTTCCACGTGCGCTCTCACATCCCATAGACATGGCGGGGGAGGCTTGCAGAGCTGAGAGAAGAAAGGGGCCCTGGCTTTCCCGGCAGCAGCTCACAGCCCAGGACACGTCCTGAGCCCCGGGCTCACCTCCTACCCGGGCTCACCTCCTACAATCGGCCAACCTGTTCTCTGAAATCTGAGCAGCAAGTCCGAGGGCCTGGACCGCCCTCCTCCTCTGGGGAGCTCTTGGCTGACCCACTGCTCACGCTCTGCACTTCCTTCTGTTTCTATATGAAACAGCCCTAATAGGTTTGGTTTGCCAAATATCCAATATGTGTCACATACTGGAAGAGGAATTTACAAATACCTGTCTATCTACTGGACAAAAATCATTACTATTTTCATTTTATAGATGATGAAACTTGGCGAGAATAAGACACACTTTTACAGCTATTGAATCCTGTCTGTGTGGCTTCAAAGCCTATGTCCTTGTCTCTATGAAACAATTAAGCTTTCTCAGTCACGGCTTCTGCGTAAAGAATATATTTCCATGCATTACGCGCTGCTGATATTACAAGCCTCACTGTTTCTTCAGTTCCTCATTTTCTCTAATGATTAATTTCCATGTCTGACAAAAAATAGTTTAATACTGTTGGGAGAAAGGACAGAGCACTTTCTAATAGCAAATGAGTAATTACATATTTGTCAATTCATGTTCAGATAAGAACAGAAGAAATATCTCTTTACTTTTAAAAAAGGCTTCTGCCTAAATGTTACAGCAGCAGATAAGTTTGATGACTCATTGATCTGCTGGGAGACCTAATATTGATTTGATTTAAGAGTTCACCTGATATGTAGATCATTTCTGCAAGGTTTTTAACCACAGAAAAACCAATTTCAAAACCATTACAACTACCACATCTCCCACTCTGTTGAACACCCTGAATTAAATGGCAGCACTAATAAAAATATTAAAACCAACGAACAAAATCTGTTCCTTTCTTCCCCTGTCCCTCATTGTCTTCCTCCTTCATGGGTCCAATTTAATTGGAATAACACTGTCCATGATTATCAAACAGAAAGAGTAACGGAAATATTTACAGATTGATTTTTTTTTTTTTTGTCAGACCTAAAGACCTGAGTTGCAGCCAGAGTTCTGGGAACCCACCCTGATGTAGACTGAAGGTTTGCATTACCCCAAATTTATTCATTGAAATCCTACCCCCAATGTGGTAGCATACGAAGGTGTGCCTTTGGGGGTGATGAGGTCATGACAGTGGAGCCCCCACGATGCGAATACTGCCCTGATGGGAAGAGACAGGACAGGTGCTTCCTCTCTGCCATATGAGCTTCCAATGGAAAGACAGACAGAAGTCAGGGAGTCAGAGAGACAGCCCTCCTGACACCGGACCTGCCTACACCTCCATCTTGGACTGTCCAGCCTCCAGAGCTATGAGAAATCAATCTGAACCACCGTCTGTGGTGCTTGCTACAAAGGCCTGACAAGTTTCAGGCACACCCTGTGTCTGCAGCCGACAGCCTGGGGCCTGGGCCCACCTGTGTCCTCTCCAGGTGTGAGAGCACAGGACCATCGTGCAGTTGGCGGACGGCTGTTATACAGACAATCAGGCAGAAGCCAGGAAGTGGGAGTACAGTGTGGTTACTAAAAGATCTGTACTGTTGCTTGTTTCTGTTATTTATTAGTTTCGTGGAATAATTGTCGGGGATAAAACCTCATGCAGAAACCCAATGTATCATATAGATAACAACAGTTGGTTGAACTGGGGGCGCACAAGGTGGCCACCCTACGCCTCCGCCTCTACCATCGGCTCGGGGGTGGGAAAGCAAAGCACAATGATCCCAAACAAAGCTCCGGGGTAAGGAGCGCCGTGAGACCCGGTACGTGGGACGGCCACGGAAGAACCACCGGGAATGAACAGGAGAAGCGACCCAGCTGGCGAAGTTCACGGCATGTGGGAAGGGCCACGCTGGAAAGAAGTAACCCCTCTTGGGTATCTCCGTGGGGCCCGTCGATCTGCATTTCATGGGGCAGGAAAACCCACAGTGAAACTGACAAAATAAATGCTGTAACAGAGGTAGGAACACAGCGCCAGGAGAACAAAATGACGGAGCAGCCAACCATACCGGGGGGTCAGGAGGAGCTTCAAATGGGGAGTCTAAGCATCACATAGGCTTCTGAATACAGGGGGTGGGGGGAGTCTGGCAGAGGAGCACAGGGGCTCAGTCAAGGCACGACGCGGCGGTCCTTTAAGCTGAGTAAGGATGAGGGGTGGCCAGGAAAGTGGGTGGTAGGGGACCCCTTCACTTCTTCAACACCCACTGACCAAGTGCCTACTGTGCGCTGTGCATACCCAAGTGGAACCCGTGCACATGTGAGGTCTTTCTATTCTTGTTCTCCTGGGAAGGAGGCCGATGTGGGCCTGGAGCTGTTCTTCTTCAGACCATGGATGACCAAGAACATGTTCATAGGAAAATGACAAGACCAGGCGTCTACGTCCCTGAGATCAATCTAGTGTGT